GGAAGGATTTGAAAATCAAGAAGACTCTCCTAGAGATGCCACAGGTGAGGAATTTATGAAGCAACTCCTTATTTCACACTCTGTCAAAGGCCTTTGAAATATCCGAGGCCATTGCTTTTATGATTAATTTATTATCAAGTGCTTCAATGATTCTACATTGAATATGAATTTAAGCACAGTACTATATTGCCAATTAGGTCTCAATTTTGTTTAAATTCCTAAACAAGTTCTGTGCTAATGGTTTCTTCTCTCACTTCTCACCTATGAAATTTTCTCCAGCTACTTGCTTTCTAGTCAACTACAATCTTCAAAAACTTAAATGCAATGCCAATTGCCATCTATTTGGATCCTGTTTTTTTTTTTTTTGTCTTTTCTTCTCAATAACACTTTCTCAGTTTCTTTTACTCTTGTAATCCCTTGCATCTTAGTGGTTTCATTGCCAAAATTGAGATGAATTGATTAAAAGATACATGGATACAAGATGTCTAATAATTCTATTGTAATTTTTTTTTTTAATTCTATCCAATTGGATCAGTTAATGTGGCCCAAAGAAAAGACAGAGCAAATAAAGCATGTCTTGTGAGATTTTCAACATTGCACTAAATGAGACAAGATCAGAGTTCTGACTAAAGCCAAAATTGTTGGCACAGCAGAATTTTTTCCTTAATTCACATGAAAACATGTGGGTGAAGCCACAATGAGAAATTTATTACAACTAACTGGCACTATTATATTTTTATATCAACCTACTTCCATAATCACCCTGGGTAACATGCTTACAGTGGAAATACAATGACTGCATGGAGAAACTATGGTCGATTACTTTGCAGAGTTCATATGGAATCAAAGACAAAATTTTATTCTTGGCATCAAATCACTATGGATTTATATCCTTTTTAATATTATTGGTTCTTGAATTTGTATTAAATTGAAAACCCCTTTTTATTGGTGTTGATTTCCTTGTTTGAAAAATGAGTTTCAGACGTTTAATTTAAATGTCAGAATGCGGGGGTAAATGTTTTGAGGTCGGGTATATGCATAACAAAAAAGTTAAAACACTTTTTTTTATTTGACCACTCTTTAATTTACAGAAAGTGACATTTAACTAATTGTAACAAACTAAATAGCTACAGTTTTAAAAGTTAATTTGGATCATTTTTAAATTCTACTCAATATTGTGGAAAATTGCAGTTCTGTTTAGAGTTTTTATGCGTTCCATCATTAAAAAAGATTTTGCGATCTGTGTTTAACTATGACTGCCAGATAAACTTTTTTTACTTATGACACTTGAATTCCTATTAAAATAAAAGGAGTTCACCACTGCTGGTCATATCTTGGTTTTACCCTCCAAACCTCACCTTTTTGAGGAAAATGCACACTTAACACTTAATTTACATGAATAGACTTTAAAAAACAAGACACTGAGATCATTCCTTGGCTTCAAAGACACAGCGGTAAAAGACGAGATTGGAAAGATAAGATAAAGAAAAATAGAAAATACTATAAACTTTGGAAATTAAAATTAAGGACAGAAATTCTGTTATTTAAACAATAGTTAATATCTTGGGTACTGTAAAAACAATTAGAAAATCATAAGTGAAGATTGTAATTTTTATAATAGAGCACGTGTTACAAAAGTAAAACACTTCAATATCTCCACATACGGCCATACCCAAAGCCTGTAATTCAAGAAAATACTAAATGGTTTTTATAAATTTACTTTAAAGATTGTCTTTAGTGAGGGATAGGATTTGATTTTTTTTAAAACTAATTCTATTATTTTCTTTTTAATCGCAAAGCTAATTGAAGGTAACTAGATTTTTCGCCGAGCTACATAGTGTTGTACTGTGTGTACTAGATACGCAATTGTTTAAAAACATTTTTAAAAAGTGTCAAATATTGCTGACGTAAACATTAAAAACAATATAAATTGTAAAAATTAAGACTTTATCAACAAAATAAAATAAATCTAAAAAAAAAAAAAAAAAAAAAATTATTTCAAAAAGGTACTACACTACAGGTGTTCGAAACATAGTTGCATTGATAATCCACCGCGTTAATCAACCCATTCTGCTTGTGGCAATAATACTCCAAATAACACGCTTCAGTTTAAAATAGAGATATGTAAAAGGAAACCTTTAGCTAGCATTTAAAAAAGTTGTTATAGAAAGGAACTAATACAATCGCATTATTATGTGCCATATGAAGGAAGGCAAAAAAAAAACACAAGAAAAAAATCGGGTGGTAGGGGGAGTGTTCCCTCCTTACTGATAAAATTCTTATGACGCTGATTCAACAAAGCAAGTATAAATGACATCTACAACCACTGACAATAAATCAGAAATTAAGCCAGTTTGTCTTATTTGTAAGTGAATAACCCTAACCCACAATGCCCCACTTGAACTAATTATTCAACAAGTTTATATTTCCTTGAAAACTTAGAAAATTCGAGAATTCCGTCACGTCGCTTGACTGCTTTGGTGTTTAAATGACATTTCAATAAATAAAGCTTTTAATTAATTTGTAACAAAAATAAAACCAGAAAAAGACAATTGGCATATTCGATTCAAAGGCCAAAAGAAAAAAAAAGCAATTTGTTACTAAAACTAAAAGTTATAAATAATGGCTTATTGGTTCTTGAATTATGGAAGAATGAATCAATTTATTTTCCTCAATAGCCTCTCAAAGACACTACTACAGGAAGGAAGTAACAAAAGTTAGTTGAAAAGTAAAAAAAAATTCTATTTACTTTTAAAAATAAAAAAAAAAAACATGTATAAAAATTCGCAAATTTAAAAAATACTTGAAAGGATTTATGAACACAAACTACATTTTTGTATGTTACTCAGTATTTTAAATCATTTCGCTAAGATGACATGATAGTTTTGAATTTGAAATGACATGTTTCCAATTTTTAACAATGACGCAAAAAGCATTTAAAAATAAATAAAAATATAAATCTTAAGTTGAGAGAAACATTGCCTCAGAATTTATCAACTGGACAGCTAAGTGTGTGACATACAGTTCTGTTATATACGCAATTATTAACATTGCTTAAAAGATCAGAATATATATTTTTTTTCTTTTTACGCACAAGATCAGAAACTGAACAATACAACAATGAATTTCAAGTTTCTCTAATGATATACAGGTGCTGATATATAAATCTCTATGAAAAAAACACTGTGTTTAAGAAAGAAATCATTTTTAAGCCATATGGCTGATTAAATTTAGGATCAACAAGCTACCCGGAGATTTTTAGTTTGTTAAACCATTTTTCACCCTTGATAAATCTTCTTATTTAAGGGTTTGAGCAATCGGAATAAGTAATGATTTTTAAAAGAATAGAGAAAATAAGTAACTAGAAATTTCACAAAAAGAAAATTGCGGGTGGGGGATCATCACTTCAGTCCAGTGGTACAAGTCGACATTAAGTAAAGGGCAGGGTATCTTGGGTATAACACAGACTTGATTTTAGAGTGAATATATATATATATATATATATATATATATAGTTGCGTGCGCGTATACCACGTGATATTATGATAAATTTAAAAAAATAAAACGAAATAAGCCTTTTTCGTATTTGTTTTGTTTGAATTTTTAAAAATTTTACGTCGAAGGTTCAGTAGAATTTCGCAATGAGCGAACAAAATATTCTTTACTTGTCTAGGTTAAAAATGTGCCCAGTGTTGGGCCAAAATTAAATGTTAAATGACTAAATAATAGCTGCTACTTGATTAGTTTTTGCCACGGTTAAATTACTAAGTAGCATATGGTCAAAACTACTCAAATAGTAAAAAAAAAAAAGAACCGGCTTATCTGTATCGAAATGCTGACAACACATTTATTTAAATTAATGCTAACTAGGAATGTACTAATTCTAAATATAGACTAACATTTAATTAATTACAGCTAATCAAGTAAATATACAATTGTAGAAAAAAAAAGCATTAATAAAGACAAGAGTAACGTGACTGTATATATAAAATAAAAAAAAAAGAAAAGAAAAAAAGGCCATGATACAAGCCGACCTACCAAGGTCCGAAACTATTCTAGATTCATTCGAAGTTAATCTTTTATACTTCGGTATATTTTCGTAAAGCCAATTAATTATGTTAAAATAAATGAAATATAGATATAATATCAAATAAATTAGATTATTTAATTTCATTTATATTTCAAAGTAAGGGCTGAATACGAAGTGCTGTAAAAGACTAGAGATTCTAAAATATAAATTTCCATTTTACAGTTTTTTTTTAACTGATCTCCATTCGGAATGATGTCAAAGTGGTACCAAAAGAAATAACATTTTTTTTTTCATCCATACAGCAAAAAATTTAAGAAATAATAAAATTTATAAATAGATCAAAAACAAAAAAACAGCTGTAATAAAAACATTCCTAAAAAAATGTGTTAAATATGAATAGTTTCGTTTTTAAACTAGATTCATACTTCTTTTTTTCTTTTTTCTGAATCAAATGCAATGGAATTGTAAAAATGGAAATTCAAAAGCATTTTAATTCTTAACAATTGAAAAAGAAAACTTCAAATATTCCCATTCGATATCTTCAAAATTATTCCTTGGAAAACAGAATAGACTTCTTTTTTTTTTTAACATTTCAAGATTTATTCTTAATTTGTTATGAAATTTCCCAAATGCTAATTAGGAAAGCATGGAACAGCAAGTATATACAACACAATCGAAATAATTTGTTCTTTATACAGATTTTATAGATTACTGTATCACAAAAAATGTTTCAAATAAATAGAGGCTTTATTACAGTGTATGTTTAAAAAAAAAGTACAATAATACCTACCTCACTGTTCAAGGGTCCTACCATCGTGGTAGCCGGTTGTTTTTCCTGATCTTTTTTTTTCTTAATCTTTCTAACAGAAGAATTTTGTTGAATGGCTACATCGCCGGTCGATTTATTTTTAATTTTTTTCTTATTTTTGTCCTTTTTAGCAAAAAAATCATCAAGACTTGTGTCTGCCATGTTGAAGCGGGAGTTAAGACGAAAGAAAAGAAGTGTAGTCGAGTTAAATGTTAAAGTTTTTTTTGTTTTTCTTTTTCTTTAATAAAGGAGTGGTGTCGAGGGTTGGGAAAAAAAGAGAAAGAAACGGGACAAAATTGGGATTCCAACAAACTCAGCGAGAGTAAAAGAAGTGAAAATGGCAAGAGCTGTTGCTTGTAAGACAGAGCGACGTGATATGGGAGTTATCGTCACCGTGGAGATGGAGGATTGAAGTGTGAATTACTCCCAAAGATTCAAAGAGGAAGGCGGGGGAGAAACCGGATACGGAAGTTGATTTGTAAGCACTAAACAAAACGCTTCAATTTCATTGGTTAAAAATCTGTAATTTTTTTTTTCTTTTTTATATAGTCTTGTACAAGCGCTTTTTTGATGTAGCTCAGTGGTAGAGCACAAACCTGTAGGTGATAGATATGCAAAACATTTTAAAACTGATTTTTATAGAATATTAATGTACGTTTTTGCACTATTGCAATATCTGAAATAAGATCGAGTCAATTTATTTTCTATGTCTGAATAGTGAGATTCTTTCCCACAAATTTACGAAAATTTGGTTGCAAGTTCATTGTAAATTTGATAAAGTGAAAGTGGTTATGTGCCATGTACTTGTAGTTTTGTGAAAAAATATTTAAAAAATCTGTATGAATTTTGGTAAAATGAACAAATTAATTAAACAGATTCAAATTTTAACTGACACATTATTAGAAATTGCTAATAATTTAAAATAAATTGAGTGTTTTATATAAATATCCCTACTGATTGGATACCAATTTAATAAAATTTAATTAACATATCTTATTAAGAAAGGTAAAAATTTACACACCATTTATAAATATGCAAAATTTCAGCTTTTTAATATGTATAGAGTATTTTTATTCTTTAGAGATGTGCATTTCTGTAGAATGTAGGAAATCCTGCTGCCCAGTTTTTTTATATTAAAAAAATCTAAATTCCAAACAATAATAAAATAAAAATAAAGAAAATATGGGTATGCCTGTTAAATAAATAATTTGTATTTACAAATATATATTCAAATGAGTCGAAAAGGAGTAAAAATAGTCTTTAGTTAATTTAAAGCCTTTGGGTAGGTAAAGCTGTAGTTTAAAAAAGACTTTTAAATAGTTGGTCCACAGAAAAAATCTGTGGTAGAAAAAAGACTTTTATCATTAGAGAAGATTCACTGACCATCTTTGTTGTTGGAGATGATACATTTAAAGTAGCCAAGTGGCTGTCCATACTGTTTTTGGAGATGATTCAACAACTTCTGAATAATTCTGTCTACCCAATTGCACTCACAAGGCTTGGGTCAACCCATTGTATGATTTTCATGAACTTTCCAAATCAGTAGAATTCATCAGAAGTAGTCATGCAATCTTGAATTGTATATAGTATCTGTGAAGATGGTGAAGTATGCATCCCCCATCCCAGGCACATTGTAACAATTATTCAAGTTACAGGAAGCTATACAAAATATTAACAATATGCATTAACTTCTTGAAATCAACATTATATAATAAATTTTCATTACAAACATTTTTCTGTTTTAAAATACAGTATCTGACTTGGTTTATATGCATAAAAATTTTAAAATTATAGAAATACCACATTCGTCTTTTTGTACAAAATATAAAAATTTTAATTCACCACCAAATCTATATTCTTGTGTTAAACTCAAAAACCGATACAAAAGGGAAAAGAGAACATGTACTTCTCTTCTCCGTAATGTCAAAATAGGTGCAAATAGAAAATAAGATTCAACCACTGCATAAAAGAAAAAACATTTAATAACACAAGTAAAGGTTAAAAAAAGATACAAATACAAAATTTTCACAAAAATTTCCTTTTGTGCACCTATTAAGACAGGATAACAAATTTCAGATGGTTCAAAAAAAGATTACTATTGAAAAAGGATTACAATTTTTTAGGAAGTGACAAGGATTCAATGACAGAAAAGATTACCCCTTTTAAAAATGAAAAAAAAAATAGAAAAATTTTGAGGAATCAAAAATTTCACAAGGCAAAAAATACAAAAGTTCACCCATTCTTTAACAGAATATTGAATAGGAATGTCACCACACAATGAGGTTTTGAGGTTTTCCACAGATTTTTGTCTCAAGGGCTTTATGTAGTCCTTTACTGAAAAGTATAGGCACATGGGTAAGTGGTTAGATCATTCTAACCATGAGACCCGGGTTCAAATCTCACCATGGTCGATTTGTCAGGAATCTGACTTCCTGATGTGATCCCAGCATGTGGCACCTTTGGAAAGTGCCTGAAAACCCATGCCATGGGTTGACCCAAGCCTTGTGAGTGAAATTGGATAGATGAAGCCCTTGGGGGCTGTTGATAGCTGTGCTAGCACAAAGTCACAAGTCATTGGTGGCTGAGGGCTTGAGCATGCTAGCCTTGTTCAAATTATTGATCACACTAGATAACAAGCTCTTTCTCAGAAACTGTAACTAAGGTCTGCTCAGCATAGTTACAGTATAAACCACAGATGAGCTCTGCAACCGTTGAATAAACACAAATGCACCTGAGCAAGTGTCTGCAATAGGGATTGACTAGCTGCCCTAGTACATGGGTATCCTCAAATATGAGTGGCCAGCTATACTGGAAAGTTAAACTTGAGTGTTTGTTTCATTCAAATTCTTCTTTGGAAGACACCAAAAAAATTTTCTGTCCTGAAGCTTGAACCTGCCTATAGATGTTGGCTCTACTTTCTGTCTCTGAGATTATTTATAATCCCTTCAACTGACCTAATCCTCTGGCCTTAAAATGTGGGCGCTTCAATGCTTCCTCCTCAATGATTAATTGCTTTCTCAAGCCATCCTCTAATTGCAGTCCTTTTATTCAACAAAGGAGGATCATACCAGCTCCATCCAGGTTTTCACAAGGACTTGAGAGCACATCTCTCATTAGCCATTAAATATGAAAACTCATTATTATGAATAATCAAGAGTGGTCTCCCCTTGTTTTGTTACTCTCATCTTTGAGAGAGCTGTTTACTGGGACGATAAAAGGACATTATATGCAAACCTTGTATTCTCGGTTGTATAAAACTTTCTTAAAGCCTATACATGCATACTTTTGTCATTACACTCATTCTTTTCATAAATTCAAAAAACTGAATCCACAAAAATTCACAAAGAAATAATTTTGATTGTTCTTTAACAACTAATTCTAAAATAGATTTTTACACAACTGCATCAATTTCTTTTTACGGCCTGTCTGGCTTAAAAATACACTTTTTTCAAATGTACATGTAAAAAAAAAACAACCTAGATGATTAAACATGTATTTACTACACTAAAAACTAAGTAATAAAAAATAAAACGTTTATATATGAGCTGGCTGAAGAATTTTTACATGGCGAGTTTTGGGTGTCATCTTGCAGCTTCCCTCCTCATTCAGAACTCTGATTAAAAAATAATTAGGCATGAAAATGACACTACTATCACTAATGTTTCACCTGAAGACAGCAAAATAAAACATCCATTAATAAAATGGAAATTATTAGAAAAATATACAATAGTTTAAAATGCACTTAGATTTTTGCATGTTACTGTATGGGTTGAGCACTTTTAGAAGAAAGGGAATTTGTTGGCTGCTGCTGATTAATGCTAAGCTCTTCACAATGAAGTAGCTGGTAGCACATGTAGATAATGTGTTAAAAATTCCCTTTCTTCCTAGCATGTGGTGATGGCTTAGAGGTGAGAGTCTTGTTTTGGTCGGGTTTCAATCCCAGCTTGAAGCAATCACATGTCTAGCCACACTGGTGAGCTGTGATACAGTAAAACTGTCTTTGGATGACTATATATATATATATATATATATATATATATATATATATATATATATATATATATATATTAATATGAGTAAAAGTTTGTTACTTAGCTGACTGATGTTACCTTCAGCATCCTGACTCCAGAGTTTTGTAAGCAGACCTGTCCATCCACACTTCAGGGTGTATCAGCAATTAATATATATATATATATATATATATATATATATATATATATATATATATGAACATTTCATTGAATATGACAGACCAGGTGCTTTTATTTTGTTTTTATACAATTTCTCATGTGATCTAATAATTTTTTCTTTTCAGATGATAAATTATATAAAAACTGTCTGAATGTTCTTTTTATTCAAGTGCTTTAGGCTATATATTTAGCCATTTTCAAGGATTAAATATTTGAACTGTTAAATAAGAAATAGTTTGTTGCATGTATGTATTTATATAATGTTTTCATTTTTTTTCAAAACATGGTCAAGATATTGTGTCCATGTTCATAGTTAATATTTATAAGTGTTGGTTTCTTTTTTTTATTAATAAGGCTTCCATTATTTTTAGCCTTTTTTTGCATGTAGATGATGCTATTATATTTGTGTTGTCAACAAGTATATTACGAATAGTGTCTGATAGGTCTCCATGAATATTTAAATGAGATCTAATTGAGCTATGGTCAGAAAGATGTAAAGTGAGTCTGCGTGTCAAACATGTTGTAGTGTGGCCTATATAATTATTTACAAATTTTGATTGATCAGGAATACAATTCCTTAATGGACACAATATCTTGAGAAATTGTATAAAAAACTAAATGAAAGCACCTTGTCTGCCGTATTCAATGAAATGTCCATGAAAGAAGGATTGCTGCCTAAATACACAAATATATATATATATATATATATATATATATATATATATATATACACAAACACACACACAAATGTACTAGAAATGATATCCTACATTGTGCAGGTAAAGTTTCTTTCCTTTGCGCCACTGAGTTCCACAGTCATTTCTTTGCCTGAAAGATTTGCTATACCATAAAATAGTATTAGTGTGTAGTAGTAGGCAAAGTTTAATAAAATAAAATAGAAATATTTTTTAAGTCCACTGAAAAATATCACCTGCTTATCATCTCCGTAACACCCACATTAAGCACTGGTAT